ATGTCATTAGCACCTCTAGTAATTTATTTACTGAGAAAAATGGTGACGTGTTCAATACTTATTTTACCTGCTGTATTTATACATCCAGCCAACACAGTTCAAACATCAAGCAGTTGAATCAAAAAGTAAACAAACTGTGCAAAAGTGTGTCATTGCAATCTATAAATAAATGCATTCAAGCAAATCTGTAAAAGAAAGATTTTTGACATTTTATTAAAAGCAAGTCCTATGGAATAGATCTTGTGCCAGCAGGAACTTAATTTGAATTGCTCAGATGTGTGTGCATAATTTGAAATTGAATGCATTGGTTTGAAAATGAATTTCACTAAATTGAAACTGAATTTAATGGTTCAAGTTTATTTACATAGCGCCAAGTCACAACATATGTTGTCTCAGGGCACTGTACATAAAAAGAACCATCTAAAGAAGAAACCAGCATGCTGCGTTGAATCACTTCATCACAGTCTCCCATCCTGAGCAAACGGTGGAGAGGAAAAACTCCCTGCTGATTTGAAATGGTTTGAAACTGAATTTAAATTTCAGTATTTGAATTAATTTGCTTTGAATTTGCTATTTTGTTCAATTAAAAATTCAGTTTGACTACATTCACGTTCAGTTCCATAATTCAATTTCAGTTCCAAAATTCAGATTTTTGTGTCACACATCCAGGTCCTTGAGAAAGCCAGCCAGAGTTACCAAACACAGATCCACGGACATTTATTTATTTTTTTTATCTGTCTCAGCACCGTTTAGACTGCCATGTGTAAGCAACAGGCAGTCAGCTGGTCCAAAAGTCAGCTGCAGGAAAATCAGAAGGAAAGGAGGATGGAAAATTTTATTTCTAGTAGCAGAGTGGGTTGGAAATGGATATTTGATGTTATTAATTGTTTTTGTTTTTTTAACATCCTACAGGCTCTGACATGTTAAATAAATTTGAAACTGAGTTTTTGTAGGCAAATAAAAAAAAACTCCGGTCACGACAGTGCTGATCTGCTCACAGTTGAGCTGTGGAGAAAAACCTACACCTGTGAGCAGAATCAAACAAAGTGATTTTTGATAATTCAAATTCAAAACTTTAAATTCAGTTTCAAATCATTCAATTCAGTTTCAATTTAGTGAAATTCATTTTCAAACCAATGCATTCAATTTAAAACTAGTCACCGCGTAGCGGTAACATAATGACCCCCGCACGCATAAATGCACCAGAACTCAGAAGTCTTAATGTA